TATATATATGTGTGTGTGTATGTATGTGTGTGTGTGTGTGTGTGTGTATGTATGTATGCGTGTATATATATATATATATATATAAAATTTGGTGATTTGTTCAGAACTCCAAACTCAGTTTGTTCAGAACCCAGCTTGTACCTTATCACTGTTGTTTTCCCACCCACTAGAACAGGATGAGACCAGTGAGAAAATAAAAGACAGATAAGATTGTCAGTGAAGAATGCAGCTCCAACAGCGGGGAGAGCAGATGGAAACAGGGTTGCTTGCAAAGGTGCAATCGATTTCACAAATAGCCTATTAGAAATCTAGAGAGGGCTAAGCTAAACAGACTTCCATTCTCTTGTGTCTTTTTGTTTGTCTATTAAAGGGATAGTTTACCCCCCAAAAATGAAACCTCTGTCATCTTTTACTCATCCACATGTTATTCCAAACTTGTATACATTTCTTTCTTCTGCTGTACACACACACAAAAAAGAAATTTTGAAGAATCTTGCTAAATAAACAGTTTCAGTTCACATTGACTTCCATAGTATTTTTTGTGTCCATATATACGATATAAGTCAATGTGAACCAACATTTTTCAATGTTCCATAGAAGAAAGAACGTCATACAGGTTTGGAACAACATGAGGGTGTGTAAATTATGACAGAATTGTGTATATGACAGAATAGGACAGAACAGCATACACAGAAATGTAATTTAGCATTTTTCTTAACACTTCACAACCTATAATACTTAACACACTATAATCTCAGAATGAATAGTCTCAATTCACTCAGACTGGGCTGGTTCATTTGTGTCATTCATAAAACTGGGCCATTTCCTTTCATCTAAACAATGAGCTATTCGTGCTCCATCTATATCTTTCTCTCATTTCTACATTTCATCCTTTTTCTTTAAATCATTATGAAAATCGTAAAATGTTTTTTTTTTATTATTATTTTATTTTATTAAGATATGTTTAATTATTTGAATGCAATCTTTTTATAGCAAAATGCTATAGAACAAACATTATATATTTCATCTGGGAAAACACAGATCAACTAAAAGTGCCAACTTGTTGTGTTGCACAGTTCTGACCAGTTTAAAATTGTCAAATTATTCTTTAGCAAGGCATCAAATCTGAAACGTTTCAAGGTCTTTCAGCAAAACAGGAGATCATGAAAAACTGTTGATTTCAATAAATGTATAACCACTTCGACTGCACTTAAACTAAAACTTAATTCGCTTCCCTCACAAAATGGTATTGTAATGCATTCACAGAATAATACTTTTCTCACCTATGACCATATAAATAACCTTTTAAATAATTACAAATCTGGAGATCACGAACAATTACATGATGCTAGAAAGCATGTCTTTGTTTTGATCTGATTTTAATCACTGCATACTTGTCTCTTATCAAAAAAGTTTAATCCAAACCAGTGTACAATACATCTCTAAGGAACAACATGGAGGTTGGCCTTTGCTCAGGTGTTCACTACTTTGCAAATTTCCCAAAATATATTTTTTTTGTGTGTGTTTCATGGATAAACTGAAAACAAAATTCTGTACAGTTGTAACTATTCAAAATTCTATTGCAAAACTTTTAACTTTGCCAGCATGTGCCCTTTCTTTTTGTCATAGCTTGTTCTGCTTCACCTGTGGTTTTTCATGTTAAAAGCAAA